CCACATCCAACTACCCAAAGTGTCCAAGTGGTAAGAAGTGTATACAAGTTTGCATCTTTGTCCACTGTATGGAATTTGTCTTTTTACTAGCAAAGACGCTCAATATGCTTCAGAGCAACCGGCCCCTTGTCCACGTGTTTGGCGCTTGACAATTCAGGTATTGCTCGCTTGTGGAGCCAGCTCCCAAACCAAGATTCGTCGCTTGACGTGATCGCTTGGCCGGGACCAAAATTAGAACGAAAGTATTGTCTCAGAAGTACCATGGTTCCGTGGCGGCACCATGAGCTGAGCACCTTTACATCTGAGAGGAAGCAACCACCTATGGTAATTAAGAAAATGCTCAAAGCTTAGATTGAAGCACTCACACTTCATTCATCATCATTCTGATGCAGAACTCAAAACCGAGTCTGGAGCGACTCTGTGCAAATCAAACCTGCACTTACCGGTAGTGTGCGAACACCTGATTGATCCAACCCCCATAGTTTGACACCCTGGTGTACACATCAAGATACTCATTGCCGACTCTGAAGCCATGCGAGGTGATTCCGATCTGATAACCGTTCAATAGCATCGGCCCTCCACTGTCACCTTTGGCAGTGCCAGCCAATCCTGAACGGTAACTCCCTGCACAAATCTTTTTGGCGGGGTCAAAATCCTTAATCATCGCCTTGCACAGCGCAGAATCAGCAATCTGAGTGTAACCTTCTCTTAGTTTGTCTGCTTGGTACCACTGTGAATGACGATCCACTGCTCCCCATCCAGCGATCAATGGTTTCGAGCCCACATTGTACCACTTCCGCCGGGACAACCTTGCCACTGATGCACCCGAGAAGCGTCGGGTCAAATGGAGGATCGCAATGTCGTCATTCCCATCATTCCCATTGTACGAGGAAGGAATCACGAGCAGGTCCACCCCCGAACTGATCCAATTGTTGTCTCCCTGACCCCACCAAACTTCGACGATGCTGGCATCAAGAAACATAATCCGTCCATTTCGCATTTGGGAAACACAATGTGCTGCTGTAAGAACGACAGACTCACGGATCAAAGTGCCTCCACACATGTGACTGCGTTTTCCTCCACGGCCAATCCATTTGATGGCAACCAAAAAGGGATATGTGGACTGGTAGCGCGCCCAACTCACAGACTTTGCAAGACCATCGACAGCCCAAATCCGCTCCTGCAACGACAGTGAATGACTCGCTTATTGTTATCATGAAGTGCAAAAAAATCGGAAAAAAAACAACAACATGAATGAACAAGACAACGCATCTGCCTCTGAAGGATAGTGAGGTGGCTGTCCATTCTCTTGTGGCTCTGAGTTGTTGGCGGTTGGCTCGCTTGACATGTCAAAGTCCGTCCCGTTCTCTGCGGGGATCGAAAGTGCGATCACGTTGGGACAGCGCTGACAGACATCGCCAGGCACACATTGGCACACGCCGCAGTCGGTGTAGACCGCTGGGCAATCTTGGAGAATGGATCTTCTTGAACTGCTTGGCACGGCCTGCCAAGGCCACTAGTCCCGCCTAGTCCCATCTAGTCCCCTGTTCTGTGAGCCGGAATGGGTCGTAACTTGATTGTTTAAAGACATTTAGAGACATTGACATGGGTTTGCTGCGCTCGGCAGCCGAATAGCAAGGAGTTCATGTCCATTCACAATCAACCTGCATGTCAAAACCATGACTATCTGGCACACGGCAACTTGGCAACAGCTGAACCCAAAACACACAAGTTCAACAAAAGAATCGTGAATTTGCCAACTTGTTTGGCATATCTTTGGCCACTCGTTTGACGTTCGACCTGCCGACAGGTCCCCATGTGCCTGAGGAGATCCTGTTGCTGCGCACCTTAGCTCTGATCATCCGAAGCAAACATATTATCAATATGACGTATCTGTTCTCTCACATGTCCGAAGCAAAGGGCGCTCTTGCGATCGCGTTTATGTATATTATATATACATACATATAGATTATAAAAAGCACGACATGCAGTCCCAACATCACACTCTGACATACGAATGTGATCCGAAACTTGGTTCAAGGATATCTAAGGGTGGGGGGGAGTGGATCATAAAGAATACCTCGTGTCAGCAAGACCGACAAACAACAAGTGGCAACATGATGACGAGCTACTGAACGATTTGCGAACATTAGTCAGCAGGTGGATCGCCTACTTTATTGATCCTCCCTTTGCGACGGGAGCGCCCCTGTGTGCTTGCCACTCCTTGTTCCAACACATGTGCATGCGCATGCTTCAGAATGCCAGATGTTTGCCCACAAGTGTACTTGCAATTGCCATGACGTTAGTCTTTCAGTTGTAGTTTGCAGGTTGATGTGGGTCAGTCTGCCCCAATGCTTTCGTGGAGCTCTTGCCCATCGGGCCTATGAAAGAAGTCTATCCAGAATCCACATATAGAGCCAGCGAAGTGCAGTGACTGTTGGCTTGTCACTCTGGATGCTCAGGTTTCGATTGATACATGGACCTGGATTTACATGGTCACAGTTGGTCAACTAGAACTGACACGCATTAGACTCACTAAACAACAATAGGCATCAATCCGTTCAATTCGCAACGGGTGGACAGCAACATCTCACACTCCCACACCAGTTGGGTTTTGACCATGGCGCTTTGACTGTGGCACGCATGTCTGGTTGCCGCAATCCACGTGGTCCGACGGGCAGCCTGCCATCTTGCTCCGCACGGCCCGCACGGTGACGTTCACTTCACCCAAAGGGCCTCTCAAAAAAGCGCTCACAGCGACACTAGCTTGCAACCTTGGCACCTCTTAAAACCCAAGGTGCACGCAACTGATGTTGCTTCACAAAAGCAACAAGCCATGGCAAACTACTTCTTGATCACTCATTGTTGAGAATTGAGTCATTGGCTTATGTACCTCCCTCCTCCTGTTTGGGATACTCACAGACTACAAAAGTGACGCTGAGATATACATCCCTTGTGCGAGATCGATCAGAATGCTAAAGCCCAACTTCCTCTTCCGCATCTTAAGGAAATCTCTGTTAATTAGTCCTCTTCCATCTACGACTTTAGTTTGCAGCTGCACCTCACAATTGCCTTACCTAGACGCAGCTCTCGTTGGTGTGGAGCATGATCTTGAAACCAATGCACATGGCACATAGTATACAGTATACAGTATACATGTCTTTAAATCTAACGTTTGGTACCAAGGTCCAAGGTCGGGCCTGCTGAATGCATGGTTCCCAAGAAGAAACTCATTGAAAAACGATTTCTGATCTATGACTCTATGAGTTTTACCACCCAGCAGCCTTTGCACGCATCACATGCATCCGCCGGGGCGCATCCGCAATGTCCGCACGCCTTCAGGGCACCCAAGCAACATCTATAAACAAAGCCATGTTCATGCAGGACTAAGACTAACGTCCCAAGACAGGCTGGAAAGACTGGCTGTCTGAAGGAAGCAAAAAACAAGGAGCTGTCTTAATCGAAGGCCTGCCTTGAAACCAGGTGGGCAACTGGTGTTGGTGTGAAGCACTTCTTGCAAACGGGGCCGCGCAAAAACTGGTGGCGAGGTAAAAGCGGCTGCCCCCATGGCCATGGCCATGGTGATGACAGCGGGAAGACAGCACAGCGGCATGGAAAAAGCAAGGCAAGATCGCCACACCGGTTCCACTAAAACGCTCTCAAGCCGGAGCTGCAAGCTCAGAACACTTGCAAGGAAAGGAAAAATCGGATTAGCAGCTCCAGCGCATCTGTTTAAATTGACTTGCGAACTGCCTAGACAGACTATTCACCACAAACATGAAAGAGTAAAGAAATCGCTTTCCTCACCACATCCAACTACCCAAAGTGTCCAAGTGGTAAGAAGTGTATACAAGTTTGCATCTTTGTCCACTGTA